GAACAAAAGTTTATCAAAGATTTTTAGCTTCAAGCAGCATTTGCGTTATGAAATATGTATGTTATTGAATAATGTATGTATGAGTGAAAACTATCGATAGTGCTTACAAAACCATCGATGTTTTCGATAGTCAAAAGCCATCGATACTATCGATAGTGCCATCGATAGTTTTCCCGCTCTATTGCATTGCCATATTTTGAATATTATATCATTGAAAGGCGCTGTTGCTAGAATGCACGAAAATACTAATAAATGAAATATGTAATAACACTACTGCAATAGGATGGCCAAACTTAAAAATTGGCTAACAAAGTTACAAATACTTAGTAAACAAAAGTCAAAAAGTCCTCGAGTGCGAGTCGATTCTAGTCAACCTGAGGTGACTGAAGTCGATTCCAAAAAGTCGAGATTTTTTTACTAAAGTTAGAGGCGACTTTCCACCCTTAGTAGTGTATAAAAAACGTTATAAAAAATGTTTGTTACCAAATATGTAAAAAAAACACTGTTGGTTCTTTTTTATACTGGAGTACAATTCATATAGTTTAAAATTAATTAAAAATTCATTATTTTTAATTTGTATTACGATTGGAGGCCGCTGTGGTTAGCAGTGCGCGCTAACATTCCGCATGGCCTGGGCTCGAATCCAGTTTCCAACAAACATTAAAAACACAAACACTATTATCCAAAAGTAAATTGCACAAAACAAAGAGGTTATGAAGGACCTCACTTCTGGTTCTGAATAAGAAGAATATATCAGGCTCAATCTAAAAAAAAATAATTTATTTTAATGAAAGAAAATAAATAACAATGAGCTTTAGTCTTACCAAACGAAAACCATCAGGTAATTTGTATTGCGGTCAAACATCAAATATTTGTTCTCTTGCAGCGCACGCGCACCAGTGTTTGATTTTTTTCTGCTAAGCCATTGCATGGAGATCATGTATCAACGCTCTATATGCAACAATTAAACAACAACAAAACAAAAGCAAAAAAACGAAACATAAAATTTACTCACTCACCTTTGCCAGATAGCAATCACAGGTAGCAATGTTTACGATTAATCGATAGCTCCACGAATGATTAAAAAAATTAAAGTACAAATTAATATTTAATCTTTTATTCTTTTTTAACTAAAGTGTTTAAATTTATATTATACGTCTCACAGCAGCCAACAGGCACGCGGTACATAAAAATATGATGAAATATTAAACTGCCGGCAATTTAGTATATGCACGAAAATATTCGTAATTTGCACGAATTTAAAAAATATATTTCTTCGTCATATCGCGTCAAGCGGACAGGTCGCTTTATTTTAAAAAAGCTTAAGGAAAATCTAGACGAAGGAGAAGTCATGGTACAGTGTGCAGAAAATTAAATTTTTTTGTCCAAGATGCCGCCCAGGCTTTAGATTTTTTTAATTTTTATTCAATACGAAAAAATACTTAAGAAAAAAACCTAATTTTAATTTTTACTATTCTTTGGAAGCCCATAACTCGGAAAGTAACCATCATATAAAGAAAAAGAAAAAAGTTGCAGACAATTTCATATTTCACCCAGGTAGAATTACCCAAAATATGAAGGAATTCTAAGGCATCACCCTTTTTTCCCTGTCCGCTTGACGCGAAATGCCCCTTCTGCATTAGTACTATGTACGAAAATATTTAATAAATAAAACGTATACAGAATTGTAGATTTCGTAAATCCTAAAACCGTACGTAAATATTACGGATGCCGTCCTACAATATACAAAATTATTGGTACACAGATTTGTTCGGTAATTTACGCATGTGTTTTGTAAAATAAGCGAAAGGTTTCATAAATTGTACTGAAAAAATGCGTTACGAAACCCCTTTCGTTATATTTACGAATGGTTCGTAAAATTTTGTTAAGTGGTGAAAAATGTGATCGTATTATGAACGAAAGTTTCGTACGTTGTACAAAAACATAATAGACTACGAAAGTTTTTCGTAGCATTTTTACGAAATTTTATTTTCAGTGAAGCGATGGCCTCCTTATACTTAATAATAAGCAATAATTTAAAACAATAGCGTGAGAATCTAAATTGAGACCATTAAAAATATCATATTGTTATAAAAAGAAATGATTCGTGATGAGCGTAGTCAGTATTCGGTCCAACTGCGGTAATCAACAAGCTGTTAACATTTTAATAAGTTGGAATTTGAAAATAACACATTTACATCATCGCTTTGGATTTACTTGCAATTGTTAAGAGCACAACCAATTGTGGGTAGTAAAATCACTAAGGTTTGTAAAAGTATTTAAATGAACGCTTATGATTTATTTTTGATTTCGATAATTTTATATCGTGGCCAGTGCCGTGAGTGTTTGTGAGCGATTTATCGAATTAAGTCCTGACTCAATTCTCAGTGCAGGAGGAAAATCCCGAATGACAGAAAAGTAATCGTATATAATATGTGAAGCAAACTCCGCTTTCAAAAATATATGTCAGAAAAACTCAAGCTTGTAGGGAAATTCACGAGTAACGTCTCTATGTGAAATCACGAATGACTACTTGTATACTTTGAATTATACACGCTGAATTTATTTTTCGATAACACCAAACTATTGGTATATCTTTTCTCACTTTGCTGCCCCGACCATAACAGTCGATAGGATAAAGACCTCGCGTAAAATTTCGGAGATCCTCGGTTCGAATATTCGGGCAGAAAAACTAAAATTTGTAAATGTAGTGATCTATATTTTGTTTACACAAATGTAAATGTTACACACTACTATATTTGTACACTGAGAAAAAATTAACCGAAAATTGGTTAAAATTGCCAAATTCAAACTTGAAAGGGAATCAAAGTGATTTTTGTTTAATATCAACAATAATTTGGTAATATTAGTCGCTTTTTCATAATTAAGAAAAAAAAAAAAAAACAAAACAAAAAATACATGTCGCCTCTGGCGGCATTCGATCCTAGGCCTGTTAAAAGCAAACAAATAACAGCAAAAATCTTTGGACGTTGGACTACAGCCAGACATAGAGTATGTTCCAACAGGCACCCAATTAGCTAATTGAGAGCATTTCAGCAGTTAAACCCCCAATTACATCAAAACTAGCCTTATAAAAACTCAAACAATTAGCTGGAAATTAGTAACTAATTGGCAGCAAATTGTCGAAAAATTGCTCATGCAACCCTGTGAAGTGTGTTTAATGAGAAGAGTAGAGGGATTCTTCAATTAGAAAACGAAATGTCAGAATAATGAAATGTCATTCAAATCAAATAGAAAAAAAACACTTCCTTTTTCCTAAAAGAGCCAGTCAGCAATCAAAACTTGATTGTATTGACTGGAAAAGTTGAATATTTATATTATACACCAATAGAATTTTATTTACATTTTGTTCAGACAAAACTTTTCACAAATAAAATAAAAACCGTATCAGCTGTCAAACACTAAGGGCTGGTTTCTCCAACTCAACTTAACTTAGTTAAGTCAAATTTCTTGACTTAGTCAAGAATAAGCTGTGTAAAACGTAGGCTAACTTTTGACTTAAGTCCAAAAAGTGGCTAAACTAAGTTAAGTTGAGTTGGAGAAACCAGCCATAATTGTTTCTTTTTAGTTGAATGTGTGTCAACACTAAACTCAGTGACGCAATTTAAAGCTTAATTGTCTCAGCTAATTGGCCTGTTTGAACATAATAATACAAATGTGTTTTCAAATGTTCAGCTTGAATCACATTTATAACAATCGGTATATTTACCATTAAAAAATGAAAAAATAACTAGGTTGAAAAAACTATTGTGCTTTTGGCTCACTGTAAGTCATACTTATTAGTCTTGCAGCAGAAATGATATCACACATGCAGGAAGATAGAGGCCAACAATGGAAGGTCCATTATGATTCTACGGTTTCTAGTTTCACCTGGCGGACCGAGTTTGAGCACCCAATAAATTTTTTCAAGAGTTATGCCTTACATTCGTGAAATGACGATCAGACCTAGACCCCGTTTGCTTGCAGAACCGCCTTGCAAGTGGCAAAAGCCACACCAATACCGTCTTTACCTATAAGTTCGTCTGCATGGAGTTTATGAGCTAGAGCCGAACGCATCTAAGGCAGTTTGTTTAGCAGATATCAGCGACAGTTCAGTATAATTTTATAGTTAATCGCGATGCAGCTCAAAGCTATAATTTTAGCTTGGCCAATACTACAATAAAAACATTCCTAATACTCGCAATTTTATCGGTTTTCAGTTTGCTTACAGGTTCTACAGTTTCTTAGCTTGGAAGACAAAGCCTAGTGTCGGAAAAACATAGATGCATCGAAAATATCGATGTTTTGCTTCGATTCATTGAAAATTTGTCACTCGTTGTTTGCTGAAAACTGACTAGTACCGTCATTCCTATTTTTCAATTGTACAAAAAATAAAAGTGACTTTGGTCAGAAAATTGAAATGGCTCAAAAAAGTTCCGTTAGAAACATAATTAGCTCAGTTGTGGTGTTTTATTTAAAATTTTGTACCATTTTACTAATAACATATTTTGTTGTGAAACATTATCTGAAAAATCCTATGCAGATCGATGCATCGAAAAGTATCGATGTATTTTTGCCACTGACATCCCTAGAAGGCACTACAGTAGTCGAGTAATCGAAATGAGGAGCTGTAAGTTCTGTACCTCCCGGAGGTCAAACTTCCGAAATAGACCTGACTCAACAAGGGGTAGCCGGGTATTTTTTTTATCGAAAAGCGGCAAGACTTTCCGCATGTTGGCGTACTAAAACGTTGCATTTAATTTGGTTAGGTTAGTTTTCTCATAAACGTAGCCACCATACAATTACGCCAAATAGGGCAAGCTCGGTTCAACTCTTTTTCCATATCCATTTGCCCGCGCGACTACATTGGGTCGAGTAGCAGAGATTAACGAATCCCCTCGAAGTAGGGTGGAAGATGCTTGCATTGTATGCGCCCTCTCAAAAATAAAACAATTAAGCACTCGAAACAAATCATTCGTTTCAGGGCCAACATCTGCAAAATGCCGTCGCCGCTGCTCGGCACACAATGCGCAGCCCAGAGTGTCGGAACCGTCAATACGATGGTAAGCTCAATACTCCAAGCACTCCTTGCCGCACAATGCGCCATCTCTCCGCCCGAGTTGTGGCCAGCAGACAACGCAGAACCAGCGCTGAAAAATGGTTTAGAAACGTATGACTTTGTAGTAGTTGGCGCTGGCTCCGCCGGATCAGTGGTGGCAAGCCGCTTAAGCGAAAATCCAAATTGGAAAGTGTTAGTGCTGGAAGCGGGCGGTGATCCACCTCAGGAGTCAGAGGTATTCATTTGCTATCGATTCGCTTATTAGAAAACTTGTGTAAATCTTTGCAGATCCCAGGCCTATTATATGCCATGGAGCACACAAACGCAACTTGGAATTATTTAACAGAGTTCAGCGATAAGGCGTGCTGGGCTTTTAAAGATCGCCGCTGCTATTCTCCACGAGGTAAGATGATAGGTGGCTCGGGTGCTATTAATGTTATGCTCTACGTACGCGGACATCGTAAAGACTACGATAGTTGGGCGCATGAAGGCAACAAAGGATGGGGATGGGATGATGTGCTGCCATATTTTGAACGTTCTGTGCATCCAGTGGGCAACGATACCCACCCTAACAGCTACGTAATACTTAATGAATTTCCAGTCAACGACGCAGNAATGGGGATGGGATGATGTGCTGCCATATTTTGAACGTTCTGTGCATCCAGTGGGCAACGATAGCCACCCTAACAGCTACGTAATACTTAATGAATTTCCAGTCAACGACGCAGACATAGAAAACATGATTTATGAGGGTATTGCAGAGTTGGGTATCTCGCGCGTAAGTCAGTTCACCGAAGGCAGTGAGACGGGTTATGCCAATATACCAGGAACGTATCAAAATGGACGTCGCATGAGCACAGGGAAAACTCATCTCGCAGCAGTCGCACAGCGACCTAATTTGCATGTGATTAAAAATGCTGTTGTGACTAAGTTAAACTTCGATGAGAGTGGCAGGCAGGTGCGTTCCGTAAGCTTTGTACTGCAAGACAAGTACGAACTGAATGTGGGCATTGAAAAGGAATTAGTGTTGTCTGCTGGTACAATTGAATCACCAAAACTATTAATGTTGTCCGGCGTGGGTCCAGCAGAACACTTGATTGAATTTGATATTCCAATAATGCACGACTTGCCGGTGGGCGACAATTTTCAAGACCACGTGCAGGTTGTGACTTTCTTCAAGTTAAATGAGCATGAGGCAAAGTCATTTCAGATCGCTGATGCATTAGATAGCATTTACAACTATCTCATACACCAGAATGGGTCGTTGGCATCTCAAGGCACGGCTTCGCTAACAGGATTTGTCAACACACTCAGAGATAGCCCGTACCCAGATGTTGCATTCCATCATTTCGCCTTTCGGCGCGGCGATTTTGCTGCTCTACAAATTTTTCTGGATGGTCTGAACTTTAATGACAATTTTAAAGCTCAAATTCGTCAGGCGCTTGATACTTCCGATATTTTGGGTATGTTTAATGTGCTCTCTAATCCAAAATCCAAAGGTAATATACGTCTGCGCAGCGCGGATTATAAGGATCCACCTAAGTTGACACACAACTACTTTAGTGAACTCGAAGATCTGGAGACCCTACTACGCGCCATACGTTTCCAGGAGCAACTGCTTAACACTGCCGCCTATAAAGCAATGAAGGCCGCACTGCTACTACCCACAATTGACGAATGCGATATCTATGAACTGCAGAGCGACGACTATTGGCGTTGCTACATAAAATATTTCTCCAGCACTACTTATCATCTAACTGGCACAGTGAAAATGGCTCCAGAGGAGGATGAGACACATTGCGTGAATCCACGGCTGCAGTTGGGCGGTTGTAGTAACGTGCGTGTGGCCGATGCCAGCATTATGCCAAAGGTGCCCAGTGCCAATACGAATGCGGCTACAATTATGATTGCTGAAAAGGCAGTCGATTTTATACGCGACGACTGGCAAGATGAGGACTGGGAAGATGAAGACGATACGGGCTATTGAAGCAAGGATTAAGATTTTATTTAGCTATAACTTTTGAAATAAAAGTAATATAAGAATAACCAACATTTCCAAATACTAGGGACTTTTTCATAATGCCACAAAACCTCCAATAACTTATAGTCTCCATCGCTTTTCTATATATGTATGTATTACACTGCATCATAAAAAAAGGTTGCGCTTTTTCCGCCGGGATTACAAAATGTATTATATTTGAAGACGTCTATCAAAATATTTGGGAAAAATATTGAGATTTACGTGAGCTGGACTGATTTCAAAATACCTCCAAAAATGGAGTTGTTTTCTTTAATAAAAATAGTTTCTTCAAGAAATATTTTTAAAAAATACCCTCAGATTACAAACCAGATTAGGCTTAAATAATCTACATAAAAATACTCTAAAATTTTTTCACCGAAATCCTAATAATGAGATTTTTGATAATGTTTTTTTAAAATTTTTCAAAAATTAAGTTAAGAAAACTTGAATAACGGCCGAAATTATTCCAATTTAGGCTTCTGGGGTATCAGTAGAATGCAGAGACCGTACCGGTTATGCATTTTATAATAAAAAGCAAAACATTTAAATTTTTTTTTTTACTTTTATTATTTTGAGCAAATAATACCGGGTAATTTTGCTTTTTATTTTTTTAAGTCAAAAATAAAAGTTAAAATTTGTTTTTTACCTTTTTGAGCAGAAAATAATCGGTAATTGTTGCTATTTATTTTTTCAGGCAAAAATAAAAGTCAAAGTTCCAAATCAAGTATTCCAGAGTTGTATATACTCGAATTTAATAGTTTTAAAGCTCCTATCTGGATTCTAATAACTCTCAAATACACAAATACCAAGGTTAGATCAAATCTAAATATATATACTGCCGAAACAATGCCAATAGCAAATTTTTCACAATATATGCAAAAATTTTTATTCTAATATTTTTTCGCCAATTTTGTATAAAAATATGGTTCTTTCAACAACAAAAAACATAAAAATAAAATTCCTAAACTTTGTGCAAAACTCGTGAAAATTCAGCAAATTTTCATCAAAATTTTCAACTTTTTAACCAGATTTTTTTTTTGAGTATGCAGTTTTGCAGCCCATTAAATTCTAAAATTGCGTTGATTTTTGAGATTTTTTTTTTGTTGAAGGTGTTTTGCATTTTTTCCATATAAAGTATTTTCTAGAACAATTTTTTGTATGAAAGAGACTGCGTGAAAACAAATTGCCAAAAATCAACGGTAATTCCCAATAACTTTTATTTCCAGTCTCTGGTAGAAAAGTATTTCCCACTCTTTTTATTTCTGTAAAAAAAATAGTCATTCACATCTCAGTTAGGAAAACTAAGTAGTTTCGTTGGATAAAAAATTACCTTGACCTTTCAAATGACCCTCAAAGTTAAAGGGTTTCAAATTGTTTCCCTTTTTTGACCTGAAAACAATATGCAGTTAACTTTTTAAAAAGTTTTGAACACATATGTATGTACGCATTTTTGCTGTTCTTGCGTCAAGGAATCCCTTTCCATTTTCGCAGGAACCGAAAAACGCATTTAAAAATTTTCAAGAGTTCATTACATCCTTTTATAAAAAATCAAAAATTTTACTTATGAAGGTCACCTTCAAACGAAAATGTTTGTTTCTTTCTTTTTTTCCATGGGTAATGGGTTCATGAAAAAAAATATACAATGCGTTTTTCGGTTCCTACGGCAATGAAAATTGGTTCCTTGGCGTAAGAGCAGCAAATATGTGAGGTACTTTCAGGTCGTAAAAGGAAAACAATTTGAAACCCCCTCCCTTTGAAGGTCATTTGAAAGGTAAAGGAATTTTTTTTTATTGAATTTTTATATCCTAGCGCACTTGTGCACAAGGGTATTATAACTTTGTTCGCATAACGGTTGTTTGTAACAGCCAAAACTAATCTGAGATAGATATAGAAAAATGTATACATAAATGCTCAGAATGAAAAGAGAAATCGATTAAGCCATGTCCGTCTGTCCGTCAGTCTGCCCCTCTGTCCATGTACACGATAACTCGAACAAAAATTGAGATATGTCAACGAAATTTGGTAAGTAGGTTGTCCTCTATCCAGGGTAGGTTGGGATTGAAAATGGGCGAAATCGAGCAATAACCACGCCCACGTCGCATATAACGGTATTTTGAAAATATGCAAAAACTAAGATATTTCCGCAAATACTGGATCCAAATTGTTGAAAGTTGGTATTTGAAGTAGAATTTTGGCACAAAATAGGACAGTTATAAATTTGTTGGAAAATGTTCGTGGTCCCGCCCACTTATGATTAAATGCTGTATCTCTGTAGTCCCTTTACCAATCCCTACCAAACTCGGTGAGAACATTGCTTAGGGCCTCACTAAGAAAATCGGTGAAAATTTTTGAAATCAGACAATAACCACGCCCACCTCCCATATAACGGTAATTTACAGAAATGCGAAAACTGCGATAAAAATCAATATATGCAATGACCTCTTACCAGAAAATTCCTGCCACTTACCATATAACGGTAAATTTCAGAAATACGAAAACTCCGATCTTTCAATAACTAAATACTACAGAAGTATATCTCGATAACCGCCTTACCGATTTCCACCAAATTTGGTCCGATCATTTCAATATATCATAATAGCATATTATTGAACCTGTTTGACATTGGGAAAAATACTCTTCTGAAAAAAACGATATCTAATACGTACGCCGGGTACATATATGTAGTTCTGTTTCGCCCGAACTTATCCTTCTTTACTTGTTATAATTGAAAATTTGAACGCAAATTTATTGCACTTTTCTGGTTTTTGCGAAAAGCTTAGAAATTTAATTTGTATGTTTTTTTGTAGTATGGANTGTCCGTCAGTCTGCCCCTCTGTCCATGTACACGATAACTCGAACAAAAATTGAGATATGTCAACGAAGTTTGGTAAGTAGGTTGTCCTCTATCCAGGGTAGGTTGGGATTGAAAATGGGCGAAATCGAGCAATAACCACGCCCACGTCGCATATAACGGTATTTTGAAAATATGCAAAAACTAAGATATTTCCGCAAATACTGGATCCAAATTGTTGAAAGTTGGTATTTGAAGTAGAATTTTGGCACAAAATAGGACAGTTATAAATTTGTTGGAAAATGTTCGTGGTCCCGCCCACTTATGATTAAATGCTGTATCTCTGTAGTCCCTTTACCAATCCCTACCAAACTCGGTGAGAACATTGCTTAGGGCCTCACTAAGAAAATCGGTGAAAATTTTTGAAATCAGACAATAACCACGCCCACCCCCCATATAACGGTAATTTACAGAAATGCGAAAACTGCGATAAAAATCAATATATGCAATGACCTCTTACCAGAAAATTCCTGCCACTTACCATATAACGGTAAATTTCAGAAATACGAAAACTCCGATCTTTCAATAACTAAATACTACCGAAGTATATCTCGATAACCGCCTTACCGCTTTCCACCAAATTTGGTCCGATCATTTCAATATATCATAATAGCATATTATTGAAACTGTTTGACATTGGGAAAAATACTCTTCTGAAAAAAAACGATATCTAATACGTACGCCGGGTACATATATGTAGTTCTGTTTCGCCCGAACTTATCCTTCTTTACTTGTTATAATTGAAATTTTGAACGCAAATTTATTGCACTTTTCTGGTTTTTGCGAAAAGCTTAGAAATTTAATTTGTATGTTTTTTTGTAGTATGGAATATATTTTTATAAAAAACAAATTGTGCAAAAAGAAGAAACGAAGACTTTTGTGGTTCACTGTAGTTTCGGACAATATCCATATTGTACAATATCCCAGCAAGCATTTGGAGTCATAAATGAGTCATTAAGGAGTCCTATTTCGGAGCCTTTACGCCCAAAAAGAGCTCATGATAAGAGTCCGAAATGAAGGTGTTTCCCCTTCCTCCGAAGGTCGACTTATATGAGCTTTAAGTCATACATCCAATGAGTCTCAACTTAAGTCATATTGGTCTCATATATGGCTCATTTTGGACTCGATTAAGACTCCCAATTTACTTTTTTGGCCTCATATTTGAATGATTTCAGACTCTTTTTGAGGCTCTATGACTCCTATTGGCCTCATAAATGGCTCCTTTCGGACACTTTTTTAGGTTCTCATGTGACTCTTATTGACCTAATTTTTTGAACTACAGTATATTTTGCTTAGCCACCCATCCTTCATTGTACGAAAAAAAACACTTAAACGAGTTTCCTTTATTACTTCAATGAGGACGGTGTCCGAATCCCTACGAACCCAAATAATGAGACGCACTTACCACGTAGAAACGTACGGCAAGCGAAATTTTTTTCCGAATGGTATCTAATTATTTATATACATAAAATGATAGCCGTTTTCGTTCTGCGAGATGAGAAAAATAAATATAAAGCTTGTAAAATTACGTAACGTGTGGAGCCAGTACAGGTCAACGTAATACTTTCTTTGATAATTGATAATAGTTGTACAATTGTTAAGGCAGGTATCGCTAATGTGCGGTATGTTGAATGCATCTATCGGAGTAGATTCCTTATAAATATTAGAAATAATGCCGCAGATGCGCTTTTGGGATAGGTAGGTATCTTAAATGTAATTTAAACATAAAGGCAGTAAAGCAAAATATACTATATTTGAAGTTTTTTGCAAATATTCTACCACCTTTTTTGCAAACGCATTCAAAAAAAAGTTCTTTTAAATACCTTTATTACCTATTGTACTTATATTTACATATATAAATATTGCATACACATATGTGACACGTAAAGTTAAAAGGGACCTACGCTCAGAAAAAAAGATTTCGAGAAAAACGACTTTGAAGTATACCAAGTTGATTTTGATAATTCTGAACGTTTTAGTGGATTGAAACTCGTTACTCGTTAAAATTTATCGGAATTTCTTAAATGGGCCACTTCAGTTATGTGATATCTTATTTCCAATCAACAGTGGTATTTTTTTCATAGCTATTGACAATGCAAACAAATGCCTAACCGCTT